GTCTAAAACCAATGTTCTCAAACAAAGATGGACGTTCTCATGAGGTATTATTCATAGGTACATTTTTAATCAAATATTAATTAAATAATTATATAATTAATATAAATTGGGCAGTATAGTGGCACAAGTGGTAGCACAATATATTGCCTCTATGGAAGAAGATTGCTAGATCAACTTTCTGTTCTGTGTTTTCATGTTCTCCCCATGCAGGAGTGGGTTTTCTCCAGGTTCTCCAGTTTTCTCTCACAGACCAAAATCATTTTTATTATGACATTAAAAAAAGCAATTAACTTCATAGTTTGGGATAACACTACAGTAAACGTAATTTGTAATTGTGCTTGTTTTAGTCTTTATTTCCAGTTTTGGGTTTTTATAATTACAGGTTTTCTTCACAAAAGTAAACAAGCAAATAAAACTTTTATCATATATAAAAGAGGTGACGGCTTTAAAATTTAAAAAGCTTGTTCCTTGTAAAAGTCTTTAAAGTATATATTTTGACTTTTTTTATAAAATGGCAGACATCACAGCAGTCATTTTTGAAGGGAAGTTTCCCCATCACATTTAAAATTTAATTAATTTGAACCTCCACATATTACTTCACTCAGTGCTGTTTCATTCCACTTGATTTATAGAATAGTCACATCAAGTCTTTTTCTATGTAATGTTGTTTTTCAAAAGTCTGTTTAACAACCTGTTAATATACTCTAGAATGCAGGAAATGACATTTACTTATTTCAAAATTTTCTGGGGGAGGACRCGCAGACCCCCCGCCAGTGGGTCCACCCAACATYGCAAATACTTCTGATGCCACTGAATTATGTAAGAATGTAAGGACAATTTATGGTACTTTATGTGTACAGATACAGGACAAGTTAGAAAATGACTGCCGTGGAAGTGCAGTTTGGATTCTTGTTTTTAGTCTCTGAATGTCACAAAATCAGCAATATCTGTAAAAAATACAAATTAAACATCTGTTTACAAATCCAKAGCTTTAAATTGCCATAGTTTTTAAAACGTCAATTTTACAACCACATAACAATTCTGTTATGGATATTAGTTTTGGTGCCCCCACCCCCAAAAAATAATTCTGCAGGCCACTGCACAAAATATTTTATGAACCATGTTTTAAACTTTCAGAAATGTATTATGTGGCGTAAATCGACAACTGATTCAATTCTAGATGGCCACCAGAGCTAATCAACATGTATCCAGACCAGTTCAGTAAGAAAAAAGATCAAAGTTCAGTTCCAACTTTAAGATTTAAGGTCTTCAAAAAGGTCTGCCTCAAGATGTCAAATTATTTTACTGTAAATTTATCTGAAAGTGCTAGAAAACAGAACAGCTCTTAAGGTTAAAGCAAATACTGTACATCTGACAGATACAAAACTCCAGGAAGCTCAGTTAATTTTGAGATTTGGTAATCAATTGGCAAGGAGCAAGTCAATTTTTTTTTTGACTGTGCACTAAAAACATTACAGTACAGTTTACACAGCAAAGGTTCAGCTGCATTAAAATCGAGTTTCAGTGATCAGCTAAAATTTGCCCCTAAATATACATTTAGTTTACGCCTAGTTTTTACTCTGTGCTTATTATATAGTTGCATTAGCATCATATCAGCAAAAAATACAATTTGAACAATTTCCTGATTTTACCACATCTAGCCTTCTCTACAATGGAAATTGATCATGTTGAACAYGGAGCATCCAGTGATTCAGGATTAGTGTTTGAAATGTGATATGAAATGTTGACCAAACAGACAACTGATTTTAAGTTTTCAACAATAAAATAAAATAAAAACTGAAGCAAAATGACAGAAACACAGTTCTGAGCTTCTCCCCTTTTATTAATAATAAAAAAAGAAATTTAATAAAGGCGCTGGGGTTTGCCCATGGTGCTCTTGATGTAGAGAGCACGCACGTTCTGCCAGTTCTTCTTCAGCAGGGACACCAGGAAGTTGACAGCCAGGTGAATGTTGTAAACCAGTTCATCCTCTGTCATTTTCACGTGTCCGACAGCCACGGCCAGACAGAGCACCTACAGACAAAACAAGGATTAAATAATAATAATAATAATAATAATAATAAAGGACACATCATAAACATAAGCAACTATATATACCTTCTTCATCTGGAACTTGATGGTGGATTTGACCTCATCCACCTTGGTGTTCATGTTCTCGTTGTGGGTCAGCAGGGAAGGAAACTTGCCAGCCTTATTCAGTCCAGGTCCCAGGATACGGGGGATCTGCTTGATCAGAGACTCTGAAGCCAGGAAGGCRTCGTACTTCTTGGCTGGAAGAACAAAAACAAAGTTTGAGGCATCTTGATCTCTTGCACGGATTTGTCCTGCAAGGTTGAACTTCCTACCAAGCTTCTTGACCAGCTTCTTGTTCTTGTTGAGCTTCTTGAGAGCCTCGATGTCCATGTGGGGAATATCAGCAGCTTTGGCCTCGTCGCAGTGCTGCTGGTCTCCCAGAACGCACACGGAGAACTTGGGTCTGGGGAGAGTCTTCAGTCTGCGATTCATCAAAAAAAAAAACAAAAAAAAAAAACGGTTTGCCACATTTTAAACGCAGAAGCATTTGACTAATGAGAAGGAGTGATGCTAACAATGTTATTTCCGGTACTTATGAATTAAAAAAAAAACGCTAAAAGGCTGAAACACCAATAGGAATTTTTTTAAATAAATGGATGCAAAACAGTAACATTTCTATACTTATGCTTAAACAGAAAAAGATGCCATTTCCACGAGACCTGATCTTTATGTGTAACAGAAGATTCTTACCCATGCCACCACAGTGGTCGGCGTCCAGCGGACCTCTTTGGTAACAAAGTAAAATTGGTCGGCTTGAGGACATTGAGCCTAGCAGCTCAGCCACTCAAAGCCTCCCCTCACGTTTTAAGACCCAGGGTTGGGGTCCGCCTGCTTTGCCACATCCAGCCGAAGCTGAAATGGGCTCAGTCAGACTACCCAGTTTACTTTTCCAYGCATGCTCCTGACCCGTCTGAACTAATTCAGGTTTTTACAATTCTACTTTTAAACATTTCGAAATTCAGACAGGGCTGGAAACAAACCAGGAAAAGGCTGGGTGAAACAGTGAAATGTCGAACCTGACTGTGCCGGAGAAACGCTTGTCCTTCTGGGGATCATAGTTTTTAAGGCTGATCTGCAGCTCCACAGTCTCCACAAACCTACCAACGAGCAACATGTTTATTTTAGATTTAACTTTTACAAAACTTCAGAATGATTTAGCTTTTCATTATTTTGTACTCACTTCCTCGGCTTGGACACAGAGCCCTGCAGGACTTCCTTCACAGCTTCATAGAGCGTATCCCTGGAAACCTTACTGTGTGACAAAAACTTAAATCAGTTAATAATATAACTATAGTTCACCTTTGATACTGAAAAGTTTCATTAAAACAAGTGTCCGGAGTAGCGGTTTGATTACACTGCAAAATACAGCTAAACACACTTAAAATCTGGCAAAATTTAATTTATTGTAATTAAGAATAGGTTGTCTAACATTAAAAAAGATGATAGTTAAGTTAAATGTGCTTTTTAACTACGGATGGATACGGATTACATTTTAAAAATGTAGCACTGATACCGTTCAGTACACCGGCTAATCTACACCAGTCCCGATTAACAGCCCAGTTTTACCATTTCTATCAAAAGAGGTTACTAAATGACTAAAACATTGCAACACTATAAGTCTAAGTGTTCATATGAAAACTCTAAATATGTGCAAAAAATGAACAGAATCGGCATTGTAACTCGTTTTTCAGTAAATTTGGTCCCAACCTCATTTTAGCAGCTAGTCCCTGAAGTCGTGCTACGCTGAAAAGGACGTACAAGGCGGAAGTTACGCAAGATAAAGGTGGACTACGTCATTCAATTTTTTAAAATAACTTTATCGACAAAGAAAAATTTACAAAGAGATATTCGTTTATGCTTTTAATTATTTTATAGTGGCCGTAACAAAAACAGTGGAAAATTATCTGGATAATGCAGAAATGTTTTGACCATATCCATGCCGTGCAAAAGTTTCAAACCACATCTATTTTCGTTACACTTTGATTACTTTTTTTTGTCTTGACTGAAAGCTTTCAGTGTTTTCTGAAGTTATTAAAAAAATGCCAGGGACTTTGGCTGCTTCTTAATAAATTTCTCTCCAAAATTTGTATTAGTTTCACCTGCAAAACTGTTACACAGACTCCTAGCCAAACACAACTAAACATAACTATGGAGATAATGTTTTTTTAATTACTCCTAAACTGATCACATTCACGTAAAAGTGGCTTCTGCAGTTTTTCCTAAATTAATCATAACTTCTAAATACAGTGGAGTAAAAAAAACGACTAGCATTTCTGTTTAAAGCATGCCTTGGTTGCTTAAATAATGCAGTTTATTGTGAACCTGTTCAAGTAAAAATGACAAATTCTGGAGAATTTTAACTACAACCAGTTATACAAAATACTATTTCTTACATTTTTATCTGGCACATCCAGAGTACCAAATGATAAATATGACAAGAGTAATAAGCAAATGACGTTAAGCAATGCACAAATGATATTAAAGCCAAAAACATGCTGGGGGATGACTTTATTTCCACTGGCTTTATAAACAAATARTACATTGAATTATAAATCATGTGTGTGAGATCCTTTTTAAAGCAGCTTGAAGAGACTTCTTTAGGAATGTTTCATTCATATTTAAGCAGCTCATCAAGGAGTGTTTGTGCTCAGCAGTAATCTGGGGTAAAATATATTTATTTATTCATAAAATTCATAAACATTAGTTTTATTCCCTTTTCATCTACCGTGTTAGACATAACTTTCCCAACTTACATGGCCGCTGTATTTGGTGAGGACTGTCAGCATCATTTTGGCAAACTTCACAGATTTTGTGAAGTGAGGACCCTGACTGATGAGCTGCTTTATGAACTGTGTGAAAACATCTTCATTCAAGTCAGCCTGGCAGGAGAAACAAAAGACTGTCAAATAGAGAACGATACATATTGTGGTCAAATGGGAATATTTCTCACTAATAAACTATTTACCTTTGAGTCTAACAAGCTGTGGATAATGGAGAGCACAGCTTCACTCCAAGAAACTTTGAGTGTCATTCTGAGATAGAAAGAAATAATTTTTTTTTCACGTTTCAAGCCTGCTTATTTAGTTTTAAATAAAAAATACTAGATAAATGAGTCTTACTGAAACAGTAGCAGTTTGTAGTGAGAATCCAGACAACTCTCTATCAGTCTGTTCAGTAGCTCCGCCTGTGGGTGCCCTGAAAACAAAGCAAAGTCCAAATTGGATCAACAAATATCGGGGCCAAAGACTGAGAGAAAAGGTTCTTGACCTGACTTTGATTAACAGCAAAGTATCACTCCTGTTAATGTGTACTTGATGTTAAACTCAAAACAGCTGGGCCTCTGTAACAGACTCACCGACGCCACCAAAATCGTACGATCTGCACAGGGTTTATTATTGCACTTGTATATTTTATTTTGAAATCTTGCTGATTTAGAAGCTCACGACTACACATACTCTACAATATCTAAAATCTCTTTAAATCAGAACAGTTGTAAAGCATTAACTAGCCTCACTTACGCGCTTGTCCTCCAGTATTGGACAGATTACAGCGAGGCACGTCGCTCTGGGATAGTGGCYGCAGAGAGACGTCGCTGCCGTCACCAGACACCTGGAAGCTGGCTCGGCCAGGGACAGAACCTACAAACCAAAATAAACTTTCAGTATCAAACGCGGCCCCGTTTGCACGGATCCAGTAATTTACCTTCTCCAGCAGGAGGCTCCTGAGGACAGTTGCTGCCGTGCTGTAGCTCAGGTCAGGAGAGAGAGACAAGATGCTGTTGCACAGTTTAGGCAGAGTGTGTTCGGGTATATGGGGTAAACTCAGCATGCTGCATAACACCTCCACCTGAACAGGGCAGATAGAGTTTTGTTAAGGACTCTTGTTTGGTTAAAGAGTTTTTCTTTGGTTATAATTGTAACAATAAGGCAAAAAAAAAAGGGTCAGTACTTGGCTGGGGTCACATTCATTCAGCACTTTGAACACATCTGTGGAGGGTTCATCCCACTGAAACAAAAACAAAAAATAATACAGAAATAGTGGCATTAATGTTATATTCCATCTGTGCTGCTGTGCAAAAAAAAGATGCATCTACCTCTTTTTGACTTTCCAGTAATTCTTTCATTAGAAGAAAAGAAGCCTAAACAAGCAGAAATTGAAGAGCTCAAGTCTGACACTGTGACATACTGCATGTTAACATAAAGAAAACGAGTGCTCCTTCCTTGATTTACCCTCAGGGTTTCAGGCAGGCTGTCCTGCAGCTTGTCTGGTGCAGGATTTCCTGCAGTGGCAGCACTTTCAGATCCTTCTCCTGCCCGATTCTTTGTGTCTCCMTCTTCCAACTCATCAAGCTCATCATCAAAGATGTTCCACTTTATCCGTTTGCTCTCCCGTCTTGTTTCTTCGTCATCCAAATTAACAAAACTGCCTCGCCTCTTCCTTTGTGTGCCCGCCTCAGATACAACCTGAGATTCTGGTTTGACCATTTGATCATCGAAGCACTGAGCCCATCCCGTCTCACTACAACCGACCGAACCTTGGAACATCTCCTTCAGTTTTTGGCTGCACTGTTCGGTGCACAGAGGCCCGTCGTAGTGAAGCTGCAGTTTTCTCTCCAGCTGTCTACTCAGAGCTGACACCCAGGGGTTCGGSTGGGAGTCCTTAGTGAGACATTTGAGCAGACGGAGAACAGTGGTCCCAGGAAGAACTGACTGAACCAGGTAGATGAAGGTCAGTAGGTTCTTTTGGAACAGTGTTGAAAACAGGCACACAAGCGGTTTACTAAAAAGGGATAAACAAAAACAATGTATATTATACATCAATATATATACTATTTTTGATGGATATAATGGATGTATTAAAACAAGTGTATGCATTTTTCAGTCATTTTTATCAATTACATTGGTTATTCAAGAAGAACTTAAGTTTATTCTTTTTGTGTGCAGTTTAAGATTTAATAAGAAGCTGATTACAGACTCAAACATGTAACAGCTGTTAAACACAGAATATAAGTCTACTGTTCAGTTTTATAACCTTACTTAAAAGTCAACTACTAYCCACTATTTACACGATTTATCGTGACAAACTAGTGCAGCCAACAGATTCCCACCAGACATTTGTCGGTGAGCAGGAGTCGTCTCCATAGCAACAGCCAGGCGTCAAAAAGCGACATTACTGTCGTAAACAGACCAAAACCTGACAACGCCACGAAAACAAACCAACAAAAACAAACTTTAAGGAGCCAGTGCTGTAAACTTACATGACGAGTGCATGTTTGTCAGTCTGCGGACGGGTTATTTCGTCCTGACACAGTGTTTCGAAGAGGTTAGCCAGCGAGATGTCGGGGTTCGCCCGCTGCTGCTTRTGGAAGACTCCGAGTGCTTTCTGCGTCCCGAAGAGTCCGGACATCAAAGCCCTAACCAGCAGCCTCGACTGTCCGTCAAAACGRTTCAAATACATGCTACTGATGAGACAAGATACGAACTTGTCGCTTTTCCCCTCTAAACTTGAAACCCGCCAGTTTTAAACAGTACTTGTCCGATGTTGGATCAAATGCCATCTATAGCAGCATACTGCCACCTGCCGTCCTGGAGGAGCTTCCGTTTGCTGGGGAAAACTGACTGCAAAGCCGSCAACAGTGTGGATCAAAAATATTTATTTAATCATGCTAGAGACATTCAGTGAAGCAAGTTTTATTTTCAGTTTACAACTTTTTTGAATTTTTAAAAAGTAATAAAAATGTCAACATTTTCACATTCTTGCCAAAAACCAGGAAGGGTTTACAATATTCACTTGAGGAAATTATTCTAGATCAAAGATAAAGAAAGGGCACAGTACATTTATTTGGATTTAAGTTTTAGGCAATTAAAACCACCATCCACACTTTAAAAATATCAAAACTGTCCAAGATGACAACACTGGTTCGAATTAAGCACACAGATGTGTAGACACGAGGAGAGATGGTGAACAAGGAACTGAGCCAATGAGGAGGGAAGTAAACCTCAACTAGAAGGAAATGGACGTAGTCAAGATCAGGGATAAAAATTCAAACATTTCATATCTGAGAAAGTCAAACAATACACACAAATTTCTTCAAAATATAGCACAAAACATCAGATTATGTTATTTCTCAGCGCATTAAGATTACAGTCTGTGATTAATGCAGAAACCTAAACATACTTGGAACTCTGGACCATAACTTATACCTGATCTTGACAAAAGTCGGCTCCAAGGTGCTTTAGAACAGATTCCAAAATGGACAAAAAAGTCAAAAAACACAGCCATGTAACTCAAAGCCAGTGACTTTTACTTACAGCTACAATCAGCGCTTCAGGCACTGAAATAAATGCGAAAGCTCAGAACTCATTCTGTTTAGGTAAAAAGGAAGTCCTCGTCGTCTGAATCGTCACCACCAAGGAAGGCCATGGCTAAGAATAATCCAAGCAGATCAATACGGTTTTCATCTTCATCATCATCATCATCATCTGAGAAATACTGTTTAGGAGAAGAAAATGGGAAGAAAAAAAAAGGTCAGATTAAAAAATGTGTGTTTTAGAAGTAAATTATTTTAACTTTCAAAAATGACTGCACCCTTACCGAAAAGGCAACATGACTTGAACTTCTGACATGGCGATAGAGGCACTCTGATCTGAAGCGACAGTGTCCAATTCGGTCATAGACGCAGCATCTCTTCTTACTGAAACACACAAATGCGACACCAGTTAGAAACTCATTACACGTGTGTACATCTTTCAAATGCAACACAAATCATGTATTTTGAGATAGAAAAGGAAACTTCATTAATTTCAAAACTGCCTCTTTGTTGGATCACCATTTTTACCAGCACTGACCAAAGCAAACACCTACAGTTAGACCTGCTGCACAGTAAATCAACAGAACCATCAGAGACTCGCCTGAATTTCTTCTTGAATGCATCCACTGCACTTTCCTTTGCTGCTCCTTCGATCCAGACTTTGCTCGGCACATAGAAAGCAGATTTCACTCTGCACTGCGGGCAAGTCCTAAACATTTAACAGCAAACCGGGGTGAAAGGTCAACTCCTTTAAGGTTTGTGCCTGGACCTTCAATCATAGCTGAAACCCACCTTACAACATCAGAACCGAGATCTTTAGTCTTCCTCCAGGTTGAGATGCATTTTAAACAGAAGGGATGGTTGCAGTTTGGCAAAAGCCCAAACATTTGCTCTCTCTTGTTCTCCTTTTCGTAGACCTTTTCCATACAGATGCCACAGATCACATTTTTACTCTGCAGGAAGGCCTCGGTTTCCTCTTCACTTTTGTTACTGGAGGCAGCAGCAGCTCCACCCTCCTGTGGTTCAATTTCAGAGGAACCCTAAAACAAACAAACAAACAAACAAATATAGTTATGGAGCCTAGTTCAGTTTATTCTGACTTGTACAGCAATCACACTTTGACTTGAATAACAAGAGGAAATCCAAACCTCCTCTATTCTCTGACATGCAYGTGATCGAGCAATTCCTGAGTTCTGGCCAGACTCCGAGCCAGTTCTTTCTCCTGCAAGAGATGCAGAACGGCAATGAGATTTTAAGTCATATCTTCCTGATGCMGCTCAGTAATCCAGGTAGAAAAAAATTAAAGACAGAAGTAGGTCCTCTGGGTTGGTTCTTTAATGAAAAGTTTCGTCTCTCGTCCAAGAGACCTTCAGTCTGATGAGTTTCAGCTGAACTCAGCCTTATAAGCCCTGCCTCCACATGGACAAACAGGTTAGTCACATGCAAAAGAGGGCCATAGCCTAACAATAGGCTTGATTAGCTCTATTTAGTCACATGCAAAAGAGGGCCATAGCCTAACAATAGGCTTGATTAGCTCCATTTAGTCACATGCAAAAGAGGGATATCACCTAATAGGCTTGATTAGCTCTATTGTTCATAGAGGGTCATCTGCCCCATCACCTGACTTATTGGTTCGGATGCTGTGGTTCAGGTGTTGTGTTATGTGTATGTAATGAGTGCAGGCGGGGCTCAAACGTCCCCTTGTTTTTGTCTTTTTTTTCCCCTCTTTGTGTTGGTTATCGTTGGGGCCCTGATTCACACCTTTCGCTCACAGGGGGCTGAGTCATACTTGCATACTTTAAGTCATATCAGTCTATAGTGCAGGTTAAAAACACTACCAGTACCTTGTGGCTGGTCCTTTGCATTTTGTGGCAGGGGCCCAGAGATGCATGGATAATTTGAGGTATTGACGGTCGACTCTGATCCACTGCATTCCTGCCTGGAGGAGGTGACAATTGTGCGCAGAAGAGATGGTTCTGATCCTCTCCTGTCAGAGGAAGTGTGGGCCACACTGGAGGACGAGAAGGAAGGCACTGAACCTCTTCTAGCTGAAACAGCTGTGCCAGCATCAGGTTGTAAAATATGGCGATACCTGGTGGGGGGGAAATATTGGAGAATTTTGGAAAATTCAAACAAACACACACAAAATATGAAAGATCACTTAAAAATAAATTTTTACCTGCAACGCTCGCCGTACCAACATTCGCCTTCCTGAAAGTATCTGCATATCTGGGGTGGTTGTATTAAGGACAACTCATGTCTGTAAAAACATCTTGAACCAAATCTGCATGAGCCATTTAGGAAACGTCTGAAATAAAACAAAAAAAACAAACAAACAGTGTAAAGTTTAAAAAAAGTTTATCTAGAATTTGAAGTTTAAGTCTCAGTTTGTCACACTCTTGAATGTTTACATTTTTTGATGAGATAAKTTAACACCAGTTTTGTGCAAAGAAGGGACGTGTTGACCTTTTTAAAAAGGAAATATACTTTTTTTTATACCGGTTAAGGTGTGAATTACTGGTTCATTTATTTAAATGAGTTTATAAAAGCAAGTTTTAGACAGTAAAATTTCCACAAGAGTAGTTCCATAATTTTCCAATTCCAGATAAAACTCAGTGAAGAGGACAATGTTTATTTTGAGGACAACATAAATTTAAAAATTATCATTTTATTATTTTGCAGAATGTTATTATTCTCCCAAATTAACAGTTCATACAAACTATTTATTGCAACAAGCGAGACTATCCAAGCAGGAGTGTTTGGAAACTAGTTACAGCAATGGAAAGGACTTGTTTTTGTTGCCTTCCCGCTGTGTAGCTGTAGGCCTGTGTGTGTTTGTTTAGGAATGAAGATAAATAACTGCTAATTTAATTTATGCTAAAGACCACTTAGCGTCAAAGTATTCGGTTTGTACCAACCTAAAAATAATGTTTCACTGCAAAACCAATCAGTATTTTTCCACATTCGCCTTTGTTTKTTATACACGTGGCTCTTCTTGATGACCCAATGTTAACATTCCTGCTCAAATTGTATCTTTTAAACTACTTAAATTAGCTTCGTTCCTAGCTTCCTCGTTGTTTTAATCGTTGCGTTCACAAGACCGCAATTTCCCAACGACGCATTGTTTTTCAACTTTTTCGTGTGGTCCCCATTTCACCGCTTTGTTTGCTTACCTACAAACACCCCCATTACGAGTCGAGTCCATCCTGTGTTTTGAGCAATCCGCGAAAAGACCGTCGTTGCTAAATAGCCAACAGCTGTTGTCGCCTACTAATTACCGTCGCAACCGACCAATGGAAGCAGAAAGAGGACGTCCCTGCGTCACGTACGCGAGCGCCCATTGGTCGACAAATGCATCAGTCAACCATGACGCGACGGAAGGATGTTTCAAAACAAGAGAAAAAATAAAATAATTAAAAAAATCTCAAGTTTATAAAGCAATAAACCTGAACTGAAGATAGGCTTCATGTTACAATAAAGAAACATATTTCAGGGTCTTGGATGTTTTTTTTTTTTTCTGACAAGTATCTGAACCCATCATTTACAGAGTAAACTTTATTAAACGTTTTTGGTGTAATTTATTTTTATCTAGTCACACAATTTGCTAGCTTGGCACACTAATGTCAGCCAATTAATGCAATGTGCAATAATATCAGGGATTAAGGCAAAATGGGGTCAAGGATTTGATAAAAACAGTGAAATCTATAGAAATGATAGAGGTAGATGGGGATCAAAACAAAATAAGAGCACAGAGGTTACCCCTCCAGGCGGACTACATGAACCAAGTYCTTTTAAACTCAATGTCAACAGACGATTCGTATGGATTTGATGGACAGTACGGCTTTAACACAAATCAACACACACACAAATGGAATAGTATTCTTGGATCGTGTATATCTCAAATACAAAAAAACTTCATACTAGCTGCTGGATATTGATTTTCAATCATAACATTTCCCAGTATCAATATAATAGATCTCTATTCTGCTTCACTGCAAATTCTGCAGCAACATGAAATTAAAATCAATCACACGACTGAAAGGTTTGTTGGGTTTGCTTCATGACATATTTGGTAGCACCTAAACTAAACAGACAGGCATGTAATAACAAACACATCAACTTAACCCAYGAAATGAGACAAGTCGTGATTCGCCCTTACAACATAATCAACAATAATTGATAACATAATTACAMAGAAATGTACTTACAAATAACCAAAGAATGGCAAACCTTTTGTATTTTGTCAAAAAGTAAAGAAAAAAAAAGCATGCTGTCCCTTGTACTTCAGTGACTTGTGTTTATAGTGTCAGCTTGATAAATCCTGTATAGTACAGTCTCATAGTTGGCTTTAAGACAAAACCTAAATAACTTGGATCTCACATTTATTGACAATCAGAAATGGTATTGCACAGACACTTATGCTGGGAGAGCCAGCCCAGTTTGTGTTCTTCAAACCAAATGGCAGGGAGGTGGTGGGTCACTGATTATGATGGTGATAATTAAAATATTGTAAACAAATACCAATTTGTGCATCTTCAGCCTAAAAAAAAAAAAAAAGCCAGAGAAGGGTTACAATCACACTTACAAAAAAAAAAAAAAAAAATAGGAAAAAAAACTGGCGCAAGAGTATGAAGCACGTTCCCTCTGCAGCCGAGCACAGAGCTGCAGTGTGTGAGGAGGAACTCTCTCTCGCTGAACGCTGCTCTGGGGTCAGCTTTGCTATGGGGATGAAACAGGAGCAGCCTCTGTATGAAAACATATCACTCTTCCTGTTAGGTGACCGTTGTGGGAAACGAAGGCTTGCAGCAAATAGTTCCAGATGCTCATCTCTCACACACACACACAGACACACACGAGTATGCACATCGCTGTGCTGAGGGTAATGCTGATACTGTGAAGACTTTGCTGATTGTGATAGCCCTAAGAAGTGAATACGTCTCGTCTTTGTGCCAAAATTTATTTCCATTCGCAGAAAACAGTGCTTGAGTTGAACGCAGCATGTTGTTATAACTGTAGATTCTGTCTGTAACAGTATTGCTAGAAAAAAAAATCTGTCTTTGCTGGAGGTTTCTAATACATGTCTTTGTAGATCTCCTGTAGTAAAGGGTGGAGGGAGGTCTCMGACTCAGTCTTTTTGATCTTTTGGACAAGTTGAGCGTTCTCAGTAACCAACTGACGAAGATCAGCCATCTTCTGAAGCAGCTTGGGGAAGAGGTAGACAGAGTCAGAGTGGTTTGCTTGGAGGTGGAGGTCCAGGGCCTGGAGAATGTTGTCCTGACTTTGCTCCACCTGCTTCACGTTCATAAGTCCGGGACGATCTAAAGGGAACAAGGAGAYGGCTTAGAATAACTACCTGGCAAAACTATAATAATATTAATTCACCGAGCAGCGGGAATACTTTAAAAGGGAAGTAATTTTTTTAGTGTGTTTGTGTGAAGTATTTATGAGCTGTCAGATGAACGTTAGCTCTATCTCTGTTTGGGAAACGAATCACAGTTAGACTAGTTTGTGTGACTGTTTTGCAATCCCATCTTGCTCTCTGATAATGTTGCAGCAGACAGTGATCTGTGTCGAAACACAGTCTTCACTGTAAATAACTATCTAATGCAAAAGTGACACAATATAAAATAAAAAAAGAAAAGTGCAAAAAAAGCGTCTTTAGAAAATGTTAAGCGTTGTCATTTGAAATGTTTTAAATGAGCTCATTTTCTGGTCCCGTTATGAGCTTCAGAGGCTTTTTTCAGACGTCTACTGCAGGTAAGACGCTGACAAATCACAAGAATTTCCCACTTAAAAATAAAGAGGTTTCCCAATTAAMGTCTTTAGCTTTCTTTTTTTCTGTTACAAATGTGACAACAAATAAAATACAAAACTGCAAAACATCTGTGATTATCAACATATTCTTGTCAGTATTATAGATCTACTGCAGCATATTTGCTGTGGACTCAATAACAGCTAAAGAAAAACACACTAAAACAACACATTAACAGCAGCCACAATGAAAACTTTCTGCTTTGCRAAATTATCTCTTTCAAGTCGTCTAGAAATACACTTTTAGTGTGACTGATTACACACTATTTGACACTGAAGTCTCGTTGTTTGGYATGAACACCACCCTAGAACAACCAGCCTCTGACGGGCAGTGTGTGGACGTCGAGTGGGTCTAAACTGTGGACGACAAAGCATCTAACCTCAATACGGCTCTTTGTTGACTTTGAAGTGAGACGACAGATGAAGAGTGAGGCGAAGTTACAAGCTGAACCACGTTTAAACCTTAAAAAATGAACACCAATAATCTCTGAAAAGGTGCTTTTGTTATCAGCTTATAGTAAAAATAAAAAGACTACTCAAATCTAAAAATCAGACAAATGTTAACATTTTGTGTTAAGAGGGAAAAAATATAGAGAAGAACAAATAAAAAATAAATGACATTTTATGTCAGGTTGCAATGAGACAATGAATAAGATTATTACCTAAGCTAAAAGATTTAAGAAAGAATTAAAACCTACGTGGGTGGAAATGAATYCTTTAATCATGTGCACTGACAGTCACCCATAAAGCCCTCAGTCTCACCTCCACAGAGAATAATGGCAGCAACAAACAAGGCCAGGTCACTGTCATCCAACTCCAGAGCGTTGAACTTCACAGCAAACTCAAACTTGGGCTCCATGATCTCACTGAACGGCTTCCTCAAGCTGCGGAGGAACTCCCTGGTTACAAAGCCTTTACCACTGGCTACCAAGAGTCCATCTTTGTTCATGAGAGATGGCAGCATGGCGAAAATAGCCTCGTGGACTCCATACTTCAGCAACGTAACCTGCGGAGAGCACACAGACAGGTGTCTGCCTCTGAACAACCACGTACTGTAGAGGCCGGCTGTGGCAGAACGTACGGGTCGGGGGGCAGYGACTCACCTGGTCATTAAGGAAGAGGTCCACAAACCCTGGAATGCACTTGGCAAACTCGGTGAGCTCTCGCACAGTCTCCACTGTGGTGCACTGACAGCGGTAGAACACGTGGACTCCGATCTCCTTGGTCAGGGGTGCACCTGGAACTAACTGGGTCCATACTAGCCCACTTTCTGCTTGCCAGAGTGAGTCCACGTCGTAGATCACAAATGGCTGAGGAAAAAAATTCAAATAATAAATAACTTGAAACGAAAACAGTGTAAAGTAAAAAACCAGGATTCATCTTCCATGGGATTAAAATAAACTAGAAATCTAAACAATATAAGAAAAGTAGATGTACGATATATTAAAAAAAAAGACTAATTGTAAAACATGGCCAACTATATGGACATACTGCATGATAACTGCTGTTATCCAGTCCAGTTCAGCTTCATTCATAAAGCACTTTTAAGTGTGGTTGTTTTAATGCTAAAAGATTCAAATATTATTTATTTATCAATGGGCRCACTCATTCTCAAGTCACTAGTGGAGCATTTCTGCTTATAATCAAGGACAAAATACTCTGATGTAAAATCGAGGACTTCTAATTGCCTTTAAAGAGCGAAACAAAAATCAAGTCACAAAACACAAGATTTGAAAAATGAAATCAAGAAACCCGGTGATTATCCATTAGTCAAAATAACTTATAACATTATTTTTCAGATTTCAAATATTCTGTGCATTGACTTTTAAATTATTACTATTTAGAATAATAAGCTGTCATTTTTAAGGCCCTGTCACACTATGACGTTTTAGACAACTTGACAATTTTAAAGACATCTACGTTGAAGATGAAACTGAAAAAAATCAACTGGAAGCTTCTTTTAGGCGTTTAAACATAATGTAATTCCAAGAAATGGATCAAGTATTCAACTTTTATTAGCAATTTAGACATAAAAAATGYTTCATAAGTTGGCATAAGTTGTCTAGTGTGACAGGGCCTTTATGTAAAAGAACATCTATTTATATGTCTTTCTTTAGTCAAAAACTGAATTTACAGATTAAAAAACAGACAATATCTGAAATAAAGATGTGAATTTAGATTTAAAGTGTCTAAAATGTACAATAACTGATACAAAGAAACTCTTTGTTTTTAATTCAATTTAAGAGCAAATAACCAGTTGTTAAATCACAATTTTATTCATTGTTTTTTGTTTATCATTTTTTTGTATTTACAATATGTGCAATATATTGTATTCTGAATTTGTAATATATTATATATTTCAATGTCAAATAAGTAGCATTTTTTATGTTTATAGCTCAAACAAAAAAATATTACAACCCCCACTAAAAAACACTGGAAAACTGAACCAAAGTTGGGAAAACCTGAAAGAAAAAATAATAAAAGGGATTAACAGGATGAATATTTTGAAACCTGGGGTTCGGACATACTGAGGTGCTGCTGGTTTTGCCTGTCAGGATGCTTCGGGCCCTCTTTTTGGTCATGCTGAGGTTCTTCAGGTAGGCTGTGTTCACTTGTTTGGCCAACGTCTTCAGATCCGAGCCGCCTGGTTTGCTGAGGTTCAGCTCCTCTGCGAGCAGACCCGCCACCAGCTTCTTCCTCTCCGCCTCGGGCATTCGTCCGTATCGGATCGCTGAGCAAACACACGCAGACACAGGACTTGTTTTGAGTACACGTTCCCAAAACAGTTCAGTAATGATACCTGTTTCTGTTTAAAATAATAATATTCATAATAAAACACCAAGTAAGAGGAATTAACGATGCCGTTTTCTACGGTTATGTTAACAGGTTTCAGGTCATGTCGCTCACTTCAAATTCATCAAACTTTTCAAACCAGATACTTGCTGACTTTTTTCCCCAACTTACAATTTGTGCCGCTTGTTCTGAACATATAAACTTACCATCATGAGACATTCCTAAAGACAGGCACTTTTGGAAGCGACAATATTGGCACTTATTGCGATTCTTCTTCAGTATTTTGCACGAACGCTCGCAGCGCTCGTACTCAAGTTTCATCCTCACGGTCCGCCGGAAAAAGCCCTGAATCAGAAACAATGCGACTGGTTGAACGACTGCGCGGTACACAGAATTTTTTTATTTATTTTTTTAAAGATAGCTGCTATCAGACTTTTTCATCATGCAAAGATTTTGTGTCGTGACGTCCTAACTGTGTCACCTTGCAACCTTCACAGGCGTGCACTCCGTAGTGGAAACCTGAGGCCTTATCCCCACAGACTTTACACTCCACACTGATAACAGCACCTGAGTTCTCCTCTCTGCCAAGACGCAGCTGCTCTGACAGCGACGGCGACGACGTTTGGGAAAGGTCTGCATTGAAAAACATTAAAAAAAATTATATTAAAAAAAACGCAGAACAGGAACAATTATTATAAATTTAACATGTTTGTCTTTACCTGTGTAGCTGGATGATGCACTGTTGCTTTTCTTGCTGGGATCCTTTTCCTCATCTTGACCCTCTCTCTGCCTTTTCTTCTGATCCCCTCTCAGGCCTTTAGCGGGAAGTGCTTCCTCCGCCTCCTCCTCATCTCCGCTTCCTTGACCCGGCGTCGTCCACTCGCAGCTGTCCGAGCCGCCGGACTCTGCTTTCGGCGGCGTCCACTTGACGTCCGCCTCCTCGGGAGGAGGGCCAGGCGCGCCGTGCCCGTTGACCTCGTCCTGCTGCTCTGCGGCGGTTTGAAACCGTTCCATGGCTCCTGTCGAAGCGGACTCAGCGGACCATCTCCTGTCACGTTGCCATCATAGCTCGATTTTCTAAAAAGGAGAGGTATCTCKATGAACATCACAAGCGACGTTAAAATAACTGCGTGCACTTAAAGTGTGTACTATATAGAGAGCTAGAATGGACAGCTGCTAAGTGGCTCCAAATGCCTGCATATCGTATAGCTCTCTGTTGTATCCAGCATGTGAAGGGTTAACAGCCAGATATCAAACATAGCAGAGCCAAAACAGTTCTCTTCACGTCATTTTATTTTATTTTCCCCCACAAAAGCACACTGGTGTAAACATTTCTAAAGTTCTTTTAAGAATTAGTTTGGTTTTATCAGCGAAGAGAGCCTTCAGTAATCTTTTACTGGGTGTTTGTTTGGGTGTCCTCTCAGTCATTGAATTACTACTGTTTTGTTTGCGCAGCCAGTGAATGTCCTTGATAGTAACAGGGTTACAACACGACACGATGTGCAGTCACCTCTTCATTGTTTTTTTGCCCAGCAAGTGGAAAAGACGAGCAGGGGCCCCCTTCCATTGAAGGCCACAATTTTCAGCTTGTAATATTTTCATTACGCTACTTTGTGTGTTATTTCATTTAAAGAAATGCTCAACCTAAATTAGATTAAAGCTGCCAACCCTTAGAAGAACTTAACACTTATAAAACACATAGAAGAGCATCTTCGCAAAATAAAAAAAATTTAACATTAAACAGGTTGCAGCAGCAGCTGCTGCTGCTGAGTCCTCATTTTCCTAAAGTAACTGATTAACAATGCACGACTATTTTTTTTAATTTTTTTACTCAAGTGGCCAAAATTTGGCAAATAAAATCAGTTGGCTGATTAACCCAGCACATCAGCGAAAACATAACTGTCAAGCACAGTGGTTTTTGCACCTTGTAGTCTTTGAGTCCAACATGAACTGCTCCGCAGAGTCACTACTCTATGAGCGTTTTTATTATTTGTAAACCATAACAGAATCACAGTCTCGGTAGGTCCGTGGCCATTCTTGCGGCCTCCTGAGGCTGCAGGTCCGAGCCCGGGTTGCGACACAAAGGGCATTCGGCGTGTTTTTGCCAAATCTTTTGTGCGGCTTTGTCCACTGTGGTGACGAAAATAAAAACAAATAATTCCTAATTAGTCAGTGTGGGCTTTGACTTTTCTATATTGTGTTGACTAGTTTGCAAAATCAGAGAAAACAGGCAACTAAGAGCAACATATGAAGCACYTGACTGAGCGAAACAAAAATAACAAAAACACTCCTCAAGCCTAAAAATTTGTTTTGCGGCTAAATTAGAGATTCGTGTCGGTTGCTTTCTGTCGTGGCGTTAAAGCGAGACGTTCCTTTTTTCCGTCTCTAAATTCTGAATTAAGTTTCTGACGTCTAACTGTGTGCTGATGAATATACATCTCTGTGTTTTTTTTTAAAGCAGGTTGGCTGGACTCTGCAGCAGCCTGGAGACATCTGTGTTATTGTTTGCCTGGGTTTCATGGTAAGCTGCTCAGTCTGCTTGTTGGTTGCTGTCGGGGGGAAAGGGTGCATGCACTGTGTACACACTGAGCTGCACTGATGGCAGGCGGAGGCGGTGGAGCAGAGGGCTTTAAGGGTGGTGGTAAGAGAGTGTGTGTGTGTGTGTGTGTGGGGGGGGGGGGTACCCCGCGGCCCCCTTGTGGATCAATCCGCCCATGGATGAGCTGCGGAAAAACAACTAGTTTCTACTTGTTTTAAAGTTGAATTCTGTCGGTTTCGACGAATAACCCGACCGATGACAGGAGACTGCTCCAACAACCTGTCACACTGGTTCTCGGAAGCTACTTTTGTGAGTCACTGGACTGTAACTGGATCCAAGCGTTTGGATTGGAGATATGAACTGACGGCCAACCCTACCCATTATCTGGAGTTAAACTTTTTATTTTATTTTAAACAGACAAAGCTGTCATGATAAACTCTGAACCGAAGCTGCTCTCGTCTCTGCCGGAGACTCTCGGCTCCTAACCTTGATTTTGACTGAGTGCCCGTTAGCTTAGCTGCTAGCGTAGCTCACATTCCCGACCCTTTTCCTTTCTCAACACAACTGTTCGACGGCCGACCAGGTCGACTTACCTGCCCCCTGCGGTGCCGCTGGATAAAGGGACGTTTCCGCCACGACAGCCCGCCGAAAACACCCAAGTGGCGACAAGCAGTCCCGTCCGGGATCGATCGGCTGTTGACAAGTTGTTGAAGTCACCGACAGAGGCACAGGCTAACAACAGCGGCTAATGTCAGAAAGCTAACTCAGTGGGAAAAACTTAAAGAAGAGTGAGGCCTTCATGTGGCAACCGGGTCGGTCCACAGCTGAGGTGGAAAGAGTGACAGAAACTAATCCTGGTAACTCTGTTTATCACCACATCACATGTAAATAAGCAAAGTTACCGAGCAATCCCTCTCTGCGCCTTCTGCCTACCCTGTTCATGGCTTTGCTTTGCTTCACTCCTCCTCCTCCTCCTCCTGCTTCTCCTCCTCCTCCTCCTGTCACATGTCACTACAGCTTCCCCCCATTGACCCATTCACACAGGCAGAAATAACGGGAATTTCAATTATTTTCTAAGATCTGAATCATTGGTATGGAAGCCCATTTCAGCCACCCTGATAAAAAAATAAATAAAACTTGTATCTCATAATTATGACTTAGCTAAGTCATAATAATAATAATAATAATAATAATAATAATAATAATAATAA